TGTTGAGCAGCATCTTGACGATCTGCTCGTGGCCTCCGTATGAAGCTGCCTGCAGTGCGTTGCCGTAGTATCCACCCCGCACGTTGACCTGGGCATGTTTGTCAAGCAATAGCTGAACGATGTCCAGGTCGCCGTTGAGACATGCGTAGTATAGGGAAGTGCTGTCACTCCCGACTCTCTCGTCAACGTCGTATCCTCCCTCTAGAAGTCGGATGACTGCACTCGTGAGTCCTGCAGAAGCTGCCAGATGTAAAGCATATGTTGGGGGCGTTTGGTCGACCCATCTCTGCCTTATGGTGGGAATGTTGTAGAGACTAGTGCTGTAGACAACTGTACTCGGAGTGACCAGGAACTTCATGTCGTTGAAACGCTGCATGATATCAAAATAGTCGTGACCATCTCGCAAAATCTTAATTTGCAGGATCGCTGCAAGATACGCACTACCTTGCCGCAAGATTGTCTCAAGCTGGTTCATCACATCGACAGGGGTCCCTTCGCAATTCGAAGTATGGTAGTCGAAGTTTTGACATGCATAGCCGGCGAGATCATTCTTCCTGAGTTGCTCGTAGAGGTTCCAATGGTCCCGAGCTGGTTTGTTGAATGCCATTAGCCGGATGTACGCTAGACACGCTAGGCTCAATCGTCTGTGCACAGACGTTGAGTCTAGAAGTTGCATTCGCATAGGATGTTGCGGCATCCCCTGAACGGATGATGTGAAGAACTCCTGAACCGTGTAGTGGATTGGTCGGATCGCGCCTTTAGCTTCTTCTAGCAAGTTGCCACATGCATCAAGGATTACCTGAGAAGAGTGAATTTGTAGATCTTGTTGGACAGTGCATTGAGGGTTGATCGCAAGCGCATGTTGTAACTCTCGAGTGCTGAGAGGCCTTCGGGCATAGATCGTCCAAGCGAGACAGTTCAATGCCAAATCCCGCATCGACGAATGCTGCTGTTCGATCCGATCTAGGATTCGAACGTAGGTGTCAGGCAAGTTGTGTGGCAAGGACTCCAGCGCAGTTTCTACCACCTGATCTTTTCGGACTTTGCTGGCTTCACAAAGACTGTCTAGTTGGAGGTTGACCCAAAGAAACCTGCCTTACGGTCAGCATGCACAACCCTCGAGACTGTCTATGAGGCATGAACATACATTCCTTCTGCCTTCTGAGCAAGTGTCTGAATGATCCTTTCCTTTAGCCTGTCCTCAGTGACGTAGAGTACCTTTCCATGCTTCCCAGCCTGAAGCTCCTCGACTTTGCTGCGAGCAAAAGTTTCGATGTCGGCCGCGACGTTTTCAGCCAAGATTTGAACTGTAGGCACGTGATTCCTTGAGAATGCTTCGGTAATGTCCGTCTCCCTTCGACTCGTGGCAAACACCTTTATCCGACATGGGGCTAGCATAGTTACCACCTCAGTGATGAAACCAAGGATGTCCTGCCGTTGCTGCTCCGGGCACTCATCTAAAGCATCGAAGACGACAAAGACCTCCGAAAAACTCTCCGCGAGTAAAAGGAAACATTCCAGGGAACCTACTGAGGACGGTGACCGAGCATCGCGCATAATCTGCAGCAGATGGTTCGGTATGTTGTGCTTTCTTTGACAGAGCTGCTTGATAAGTGTGGCTATGATCCGGGTCACGTTCGCTAGTCGTGTATCACGATAATCGTAGTAGGCAAAACAGATGGCAGTGTCCTTCCGTAGCCCGGCCTCGGCCGTGATATGTTCAAGAACATTGGAACTATACTTCGAGTTGGCACATGAACCAAGGCTCGACTGTGTCGGTACGAACTTACCTGAGTACAGACTTGCCGATACCAGCTACAGAATATCAGTGCATTTGGACCATTAGAGGATATGGTAATACTTACGCTTTCCATTGCACCACAGGAGGGATGAATGCGCGCTCTGCATCCATTGTTGGAACTTAGGCTCTTGAATCAGCCAGTCGGCAGTGCCTGTGTGCTTTTTTGCATAAATGCTCTGATGCACCTCTTCGAAATCGATGTCTGACATCCAAGTGAGAAATGCCGACCTTTCCTTCCCTGAATCGACAGGTGTTAGAAACCGACACAGATCGTAGCTGGAAGGTCAGACCTACTCTGTTCGGTACTCCTGAAAGCATTAAAGTGTGTCGCCTGTACAGTATGCTGGAGAACATGGAGATGGTGCTGCATCTCTTCTTTTATGGACACAAATTCAGCCTCAAAGGTATCCCAGTGCTGGCGCATGAACGCCCTAAACGAAGTCCACCTCCTTCGTTTTCCATTGGCATCGACGAAGACACAGCGGGCTTTCCAACTGAAGTCTAGTATGTTCGTATAGACACTGACAACGGCACTCTCTACAAGCTCAACGTTTGCCGCCCGTGAATGTTCCGCTAGCGGCCCAAGATAATCTTCGAACTCGCAGACCATGTCGGTCAATCTGGGGAAGAACTTTGTGAAATGCAAGCCGAGATCGATAGCGACCCGCACTGCGCCCACCACCGGGGCCGATATGGCAGGGTCCGCCTGTATGCCTATGGCGACGCCACCCATGAGCCTGTTGAGCAAGTCAAGAGCCTTTGTGAGGTGCTCAAAGTGAGGCCTGAAGGACGACTCATTTTTGTGCTCTGCATCGTAAGCCCGTACTTTGGATAATAGAGCTTGCTCATCAAGTGTCTTTATCTCCTGTTCAAATGCTACACGTCCAGCTTCCGGGAGCTTCTGCAGTTGCAACACGACTGCCTTCTCAAGCGCTGGGTTTTGGGTTACTGTCTGCACTGGTGTGGCTGCATTAGATGCGATTGAATTCGTAGCGGATGATGATGGAGGACGTGGTAGTGGAGAACCTGAACGGGGTGAGACCGAACGGGTACCGGTAGCGGTTGGCGCTAAAAATGCGCGTAGACGGTCTCGCTTTCGCATTGTATGTTTGAAGTTGTGGAAGCAACGACCGTGGCTACAAGGTTGTATGTCAAAAGTGTTCGTGTGTTGGACATCCTGTGCTTATCCGAGGCTGCGCGCTTGAAGTCGTGGGGTGGCCTGCAGGCCGGCTGTGCCCTCAGCTGCACTGCCCCCGCCGCAGCAGCTCCGCTTGAACGATGCCCTGCGTGACTTCTGCACGACAGACTACGCATCATCAACCCTTTCAGAATTCAAAACAAGATTTTGCATGATCGCACTTCCTACCTGTCCTCTAAGAGCTTGATGGCTCCACAAGATAGCAACTGAATAAAGGAGTTTCGTTGGAAAGGTGATTGACAACGCTGACGGATCAGGCAACTGCATGCCTGACACTTCGGTGATATTTGCAAGAGAATTGCTCCTTAGAAGCAAAATAGTTATCAAATTATAGTAAACCAATAGCGGCTTTGCAAGCCTACAAAGGAGAGATAGTAGCTTCTGCTAGCAGTTGCGTGGCACAGATGCTGCAGTGTAGCAAAACTGCGAGCATACACAACGCACGCAACCAAATGCCCTTGTGATTGAGTAAGATTTGCTTATGAGTTGAGTCTATGGCCTGAGAGCCTCAGAAGTAACAAGAACAGATAAGGGTGAGAAGAGAGAAGCTTGAAGCTGAGGTAGCGCTGGACGCTGCGCACGTAACAATTAACAGCAAAGTCACGATTGTTGTATTATTCGTACTGCATTGTATCAGCATATAATATAAAAACTGAAGATTGCATTCTAATAGGCGGCAGATGCTTTCCATGTGAGGACAGAAGTCAGGTTGGGTTGGGAGTGATCCCATCTCTGGACAGGAGGTTTCTCGCTACTGAGGTGGGGGACGTTACTACTTCTTGAGAGACTGGCAGTTTCAAGGAGGATGCCCCGTCCCAGACAGGGTCTAGGTCGTTGCATGATGTCCGCAGAGAAGCCAAGAGGATGCTGGAGGCGGATGTTCGGTTCGAGGACGCTCCAACAGCGATGTCTGAGAACACCAGCTCTACCAAATGAAATCTACCCTTTCGAGCGTATATCTGAGAGTATTGCCACTCTGCTAGCTTGAACGGCTTGGAGCTCCATGCCTTTGAGACCATGTCCGTCGGCAACAACATTGGACCTATACAGTCGGAGGACAAAAGTCTTGTCGCCCGATGCACTTGGACCACCACAACTACTTTTGAGTGAATGTTCACACACTATTATCTCAACAACCACACGGTGAAATTTGAATCTGATTAAAGCGCTGGATTGCGCATGATCTCAATATTTAGTCTGATACCCCTGTGCACGCATACAGGCACTGAGTCGTCGTGGCATTGAGTAGATAAGCTTCTTGATCAGAGTATCAGGTATGGCCCACCACGCCTCTCTTAACCCTTCACAAAAGCAATCCCACTCCTCCTGGGTATCCCCGAGTGTATCAAATTCAGGGTGAAGCTCATGGAGCTTCCGTTTGAGAGCCCACCACATGTGCTCGATTGGATTGAGGTCAGGTGAGTATGGTGGGAAATCCATAGTCCATACCCCATGAGTCTCTAACCAAATCCTTGTCTTTTTGGCCTTGTGGATAGGTGCGTTATCGTGCATGAATATATCCATAGGGTTATAGTGAGGTTGGAGTCCATCACTGAGAGTTGAGATGTATGAGTCGGCAGTATAGCCTCTGCGTTGTGAGGTAGTATCCCGTTCCATGATGACCAGAGGACTACGCCTAACCCTACCCCCCCTAGTCACCCATATGCTTGCCCACACCATCTGCTGCCTAGCACGAGAAGACTCCTTCTCTGTCACCTTATTGTGATCATATTTCTCATCTGGGTACTGAAAACTCCACTCCTGGTTGGCACCAGAACCTCTTGCAACGCTGCACTCATCACTGAACTTCACTACTACCCGCTTCCAGTTGAGATGTGAGTGCTCACGTGCAAACCTGAGCCTGAGTAGAGCTGTGGCCCGGTTGATCTTAGGCCTCCGCTTTGATCTGAAGTTGCGTAGGTCTAGTGAGAAGAGCGTGCGATAGACTGTCTTCTTAGAGACTAGAGGGTGTAGGTTGCTGTCAGGCCACAGGCCAGCCTCCTCTAGTAGTGTACGGTATTGGATTTTGGGAGATCTTCTGGCAATGCGAAGGAGGAGACGACGCTGGCGACGTGTTAGACTAGCTGGGCGACCACTGCGAGGTCTGCTGGCGTTGGTGTTGAGCTCGTTGTAACGTGAGACGGTTCTCTGGATTGTCCGACGCGAGCAGCAGAGAGTCTTAGCAACTTCATTGGTCTGCGCACCATTCTCTAGAGCAGTAATAGCATAATCGCGTTGACGCTCTGATAATTCACCACCAGGCAATCGATCGGCAGAAATCTTAGCACCAAAAGCTCTCATATTGGGTGTGTAGATGGGGTGGGAAGTTGGGTTGTTGCTGATGCAATCACGGTGTTGGGGTGAGGCCTGTGCTCATGCGACCAGACTTTAGTCTTAGTACTGTACTTTCAGTGAGTGTGAAACTCCACAGGAATTCCATTGACTTACCTTTAAGATCTGCCAATTTGATTATGTCGCAAGTATACTGAGCAATTTTTTCCTTGACGTTTTGAGTGATGGGACGCTCCCAGAGATTAATCATGGGCTTAAGAACCTCACCAGATACTAAGTGATCAGCGCGCCACAGAGCATAACCTCTGCGATGTTGAATACCATTCAATCGTCGGTTCTGAGAGACACCCAGTTGTATACTCCATGATAACTATTGGTGCACGCTTTCGCCAGTCTGCCTCTTTATGGTCATGTACACGATCGCCGCTTGGGTGGTTGGATATTGGATCCGACTGAGCATCTGATATGCCGGAGATGGCAGATGCTAAATCAGGGAGTGAATATGGAGAGTACATCTCAATGTGAGACTGAACAGTAGATTTGACGCAAGTTGGAAGGGTTTCCAGTGGATTCAAGAGTGAATTCGAGAATTGAAGATTCCTGTAGCGAAAGTCGACTTTAGTGTGTAGCTAATTAGCCTGCGCAAAGCGTACGTCCTTAAACGAGAAAGACATTGTCGTGTCTTGTTGATGGTGCAGAGCCAGTCTGAAGCCAAGGTTTCACAGAGTTCCGCGACGTAAGCATTTGAAAACACGGAAGCGAGACATCTCTCTAAGACGTGATTCGGCAAATGAGTGATGCCATTATTTGTAGAGCATTATGAAGAAGGAGAGACAGCTAGGAAAGAATATAAGGCAAAAGAGAAAACAAAAACCCCGGTCTAGATGAATCTCAACACCATCGCTATGCATGAAACCAATCTTGTCCCCTAGAAATGTACCGTGACTGCAAGCAATTCATCGCTTACGCAGAAGCCTTAACAAAAGCTGGGTCGCAGATGACAGCGCTAGTATCAACAGTGATGTGCTCGCCCTTCTTGTTGATGAAAGTCCAAGGGCCATTTCCACCATCCGCAAAGGTAACGTCGACGTTGGCACCTCGCTTGCCAATGATCGGGTAACCGGCCTTGTCGAGGACCTGGCACCTCAAGTCCTGCTTCTTGACCGCAGGGTCGAGCGTGAGCTCAAAGGTGTTGACATCCGCGCCACCTGCGGGCTGGATCTCGCGAACAAGGCCGCCTTCTTTGAATGCGATGTTGCGTGCGAACTCGCTGAGACCGGAGATACGAACGTTAATGGGAGGTTGCGCGATGGGTGTAGGGGCAGGCGCGGCGGGAGGAGCGACGCCCTTGACGAAGGTCGGGTCGCAAATGATAGCAACAACTTCCTGCGCACCGCTCTCAAAGGTCCAGGATCCGGCGTCGCCGTCAGCGAAGGTGATGTCGCGGTTGCCATTTCGGAGTACGACGATGGGCTCGTTGTGTTCGTTGCGCACCTGGCAGCGGAGGCCCTGTTGCTTCACATCCTTGCCAACTTCAAGAGCTACGGTATCGTAGGGGCCGGAGGAGCCCTGGGGGCGCTTGACTTGACGCCAGCCCTCTTCGAAGGCTGTCTGAGTAGCGAGCTCGCCGGGGCCGGAGAGTTGGACGCGGATGGAGTTGTCCGAAGCTGAGCGACGGGCCGGGCGTGCCAGGGCTGAGGTAGCAAAGAGTGCTGAAAGGAAGATGGTTGAGTACTGCATGGTGATGGTTGTTGGGTGTTTTGCTATTTTCTAAGAAGATAGAAGGAAGACAGATCCAAGGAAATGGAAAGGAAATAAGGGGATGAAAGGATGTAGTGGTTGCTTGTTGGTGAGTGTTGATGTGATGGAAATATGTTCACCAGCGACAACATCGCATACTTATAGAGCCTGTATCTATGCCTGGTACTCCAGTACGCTTAGTAGCTATTATCGCTATAATTGTTCTTCACTTACAAAGTATCGGGCGAAGTACGGCTGAACAGTGCTGTTCATCATCAAACTTTTAGCTGCTGACAGTACTGCCACCTCCATCCCAAAACATCCAATCAGTATTGCGCGCGCCCAACGTCAGCCTTCCCCGGATCGTCAGCAGCCGAAAAAAGCCTCCCGCGACCCGTTTGGAAACATGTTTAGGTCGTAAGCATCTCGGATTAGTCGTCGATTTCAAATGCATCGACTCTTGGCGCCACTGGAACTGCAGGCAATGTTGGTGCATTCTAACAGTGCTTGCTGTTATGCATCCAGACACTCTTGGTCTTCTGTCACACTCCTCTCAGATTGAGGCGCAGAAGTGACGAGTTCGAAAGCGCTGTAGGATAATTCCAAATAGTGTTCCAGATGCTTGTAGTCGTGTACAGCTCATCTTGCTATTCTGGGGTCAGCATATAGTCTCTGCCTACCTCCTCTTCGTACACAAAACGTGTAACAGGACTCATAGGATCCTTGAAAGCGGAAGAAGGTAGCTGCATTGCCGCACATAGAGGATGAACTAATTCGGGGTGCAACTCATTCATCTTTGCGAGAAGCAAGGGCACGAATTTGTTTTGCCACTAGGGAGTCTTGCCAGAAGAGAGACAACTTGCGTCAGGTACTCGACCGGGCCTAGCTCCATCTGTGAGATCGATACAGATATGAATGGACGGCACAAGCGATATCAAACACTTTCTCAGTCTGAAAGGGTTAGCTTGATGAAAATCTAGGACGAGCTCAGCTTACCATGCCCACATCATGAACCTGCAAGCTTGCAATCGGCAACTTCATCGTAAGGATAATTTCCCTCCCTGCGGTTCGAACATCCCCCCGCGCCGAACAAAACCACCGATACTTCCACCTTGAACGCTTCTTACTTCCGCCACACCTTGGAAATTGCTATGCACTGGTAGCGAGAGTCTGCTACGGTTATTCCTACACGTGTGAACCCTATTGTAGCGAAAAATTACTGCCGTGTTGACGCCTTCCGCGCCCGTTCCCTAAAGTGCATTGTCTTATTGCAAAAGATGCTCCTTCCTCTGCAGCAGCACCACGACAATTTTACTGCTTGTAAAGTTACAGACAAATTCCATGAAAGCCTAATAATGTTGTAGCACTTGTTAAGAATAGAGATTATCATGTGAAGTGTGTTGATTGAGTGATTGCGTCTTTGCGCGCCGATGCCGGCGTGGAAGCGTTCAGCTACAGTCACCTTCCTTTAATCTGGGCGCGCATCGGCACGAGCCACCTCACCAACATTTCCATTACAACTTTGAGTAGTTACAGCATCACCAATAATAGACTAAATCAAATGGTTTATGGCTCATTTTACTCGTAAAAGCCTAGTATTTTGTTTGGTAACCATCTGCCTTAATAACAGCATTGATGCGGTCCTGCATGCTGTGAATGAGGC